TTTTTTTTTTTTTTCCTCCTTGTGCTTAAGCTTTTCCCTATGTTCTCCACTGACCCATCTCTTCATTTTCTATTCCTTTCCTTAGAATTTTTTTTAAATTTATAGATCATTCATATCTTTCTAGCATCTATTTGAAACCAGCTCCAGGCTTCCATGTGTGTCTAAGGACATGATAGAAGTTTTGAAATATATAGATACTGGGAATTATACCATTACCTTTCTTATCCACATGTTTTACATCTGGAGATTGAATTAACCATGGATCAGAAATATATTTTTTTTAAAGAGAGAGAGAATTTTTTAATATTTATTTTTTAGTTTTCGGTGGACACAACATCTTTATTTTATATTTATGTGGTGCTGGGGATCAAACCCAGTGCCCCGCATATGCCAGGCGAGCGCACTACCACTTGAGCCACATCCCCAGCCCCCAAAATATTTTTTAAAAATTCATCTGTATAAAATATAAACAGGTTAGATTTTCTTGTCTTTATCCCCCAAATACTGTAGTATAACTGTTCATATAGCATTTATATTGTATTAGATATCACAAGTAATCTACAGACAATATAAAGGATGGGTATTTACAAATACTACACCATTTTATAAGAGGGACTTGGGCATCCCTGAACAATGTATCTGCTGGGGTTCTGGAACCAATTTCCCAGAGAAACTGAGGGACAGCTGCATGGTCTTTTTCTAAAAGTGGGAGGGGTTTGATGAGGTTTTCTTCTAGTTGCACATACCATGAAAAAAATTATTTTTATTTTGATACTCTAATTAATAAAAGTAATCTCTAAACAGTAAATTTATATTGCTATTTTAAAGTATAGGATATTGAAGGGTAGTGGTTTCCAAAAGCTATTCCTCAGACTAGTCTGTGGCAGTGTGTGAAATGACAGATTCTCCTCATGCTCAAGTCAGGAAGTTCTGATGTGGCCAATCTAGGGTGGTGGCACTCAGGAATCTGTATGTAGATGACTTAGCATGGGAACAAATGCTCTGGGCTTCACTGTCTTCCTTTTTAGTCATTGGGTTCAGTGATGCAATGTCAATGACACCCAGGGATATCCATCTAGACTCAGGGACCTATCTTACAAGTACTTATAATTTTTTTTTTAATAAGTAACCATCCTGGCTTTTTCAGGACTGTTTAGGTTTCAGTGCCATGTCCTGAGAAACTGCTCAGTCCTGAAATTTACCAGAGCAGTTGGTAATAGATAAGTGTCTATTAAAAATAGCTGGATCTATTTAGTATCTGTAACTATTCTTAAATATTTACTTATGAGTAGTCTATTTTAAGGTTAAAATTGTGGGAGTAAAATTTTAAGCAAGAGCTGAAAGGGGTGAAAGGGTCAGAACAGCATTCCTATTTCTGCATGGATGTGAGCTAAGATTATGCAACTAGGGTAAACTGAAAGAGAGAACATGCCTTTTGAAACTTTGTGTGAACTGATCATCTTTGTCTTCAAACCTACAAAAATCTCAATAGGAAGTTTCAGGGAAATAATAATGCAGTTCCCTACAATGATTGCCTGTGTTTGGACATTGAGTGTGACTTAGAATCAGACTACCTAGACATGTGATAGGTGATTGAAAATGTGAGCCTGGCAATTAGGTGATAAGAAAGGCGTAGAAAACTAAACTTCCAAAGAACTAATTTCCAAAATGAATTAAATTGATTACCATAAATTGATTCTATTGTTTTGGACTCATAACAACATTTTGGATTCCAATTTATATTTCTAGACCATAGAAATAGGAATAGTTGACAGTGTTGATAATGAATAGATTCTAAGGTTAGAAATAGCCTTGCAGAATGGGTAGTTGAGACATGAGAAAAATCAGAAAATCCATGTTAAAGGGGAGGAGTATTATGATGGACTGTGGAGACTAGTCAGCAGCACTGAAAGGAACAGAGTGTCAAAGGTGATTGATTGAGATGGGGCATCATGGGTGGGGTAGGGGGGTATACCCAATGATTGGCTGGATGAATAAAAATGAATAACTGAAGAAAGTAACTGGTTTTATGAGAATATGAATACCAAATATTAAAACAGCCATTTGAATTCAACTCTAAATTTAGCAGATCTTTGCATTATTAAAATAACAAATATTTGTTGGATTTATTGTAGATTAGGAACTAACATCCATTGGAAAGTTTAGAGTACTTGATTTTTCTTTCTCCAAATGTTACTGATGCATAAGTTTTGGGGAGGATGTGGAAGAAGCTCTGTTTTTTTTTCCCTTAGTGAACCCTTTAGGTCTTATTGTAATTCTTTCTTGAATGCCTCCCAATTCTTCTCGCCCACTAATGTTTTTTCCCCTAGGGAAGGTGAAAATATTGTGTTTTCAGTCTGATACCTGGGGATGTTTCACAAATCTTTATGTAACCCATAGAACTATAAGTATAATCTCCATGTGTCTCAGTTTCCTCATCTTCAAAATAAGAACATTGAACCATAGTTGAGCTCTAATTTACCTTCCATTTAAAAAAAAAAATCTCTGCTTCCAGACCAGCCTAAAAGTATTATCCAATGACAATTCTCAGCCCTAAATTTGCCTAAACGTAGGCACAATTACTTTGACATTCATTTTGAGAGATCTACATCTTTTTAATAGAAAATTTAAATAGAAAATTGAGATCAAAGAGAAAATAAATTGAATGATTTTTTTAAAGATAACTGGAGTCATTTAACAATACATTGTCATATAATAGTTATAAAAAGCTCCCAAATACAGCTTATTCAAAACAAGAACAGATCTGAAGGGGGAAGAACTTACTTTTTTAAAAAAATAAATTTAGTTATGGGTGGACATAATATTTTTATTTATTTTTTTACTTATTTTTATGTGATGCTGAGGATTGAACCCAGTGCCTCACATGCGTGAAGCAAGTGCTGAGCTACAACCCCAGCCACCCCCCTCCAAGAACTTAGTTACTTAGCCGCTAATCAAATATGATGCTCTTGGAGCTCAGAGAGATGACATTCTCTACCTTTTACTTAAAAGATCTAGTCACTATCAAAATGTTATATAATTACTACAATGTACAATATAATGGAATTTAATAAGGTGGAAATACAGATAATGAAACTATACTTCTCTATATTTTATCTTTTTGTTACTAATGCAATAATTTCCGCTCTTTCTAAAGAAACAAATTCAAACCCAATTTATCAACCTAAATGGGATGCTGGGTGCAGTGGTGCCCACCTATATATAATCCCAGTGGTTTGGGAGGCAGAGGCAGGTGGACTGCAAAGTTCAAAGTCAGCCTTTGCAACTTAGGAAAACCCTGTCTCAAAATAAAAAGTACTGGGGATTTGGTTCAGTAGTTAAGGGCCATTGGGTTCAATCCCTGGCACTAAAACCAATAAAACAAAACAAACCACCTGGCTGGGAGGCTGGGGATACAACCCCATGGTAGAGTTCTTGTTTAGCATGTGCAGGTCCCTGGATTTGATCTCCAGCACTGAAACAAAACAAAACAAACAAAACTCAATAATGTGGAATTAATCAGAAGTAAAATCTAATGGTTTGTATTTCAGTAAATATACTAAGTACCTCCAAAGATGGAAATGTTTGTGCTAATGCCATCTTTTATTGAAATCTGTCAATGTCAAGTGATGGTTTTTCCTTTTGTTTTGCAGGACTAGAGCGAATTGCTCGGGATTCATCTTATGAACAGGAAGGGAAAGTCCAATTTGTGATCGATGCAGTGTATTCCATGGCTTATGCCCTGCACAATATGCACAAAGATCTCTGTCCTGGATACATTGGCCTTTGCCCACGGATGAGCACCATTGATGGGAAGGAGCTACTTGGTTATATTAGGGCTGTAAATTTTAATGGTAAGTTGCAACTTTTTTTGTGTGGTCTCTAAATGCTTTAGAAGTGACAGGATGTTTTTGTCCCCCCTATATATAGAAGATACTCAGGCAGAGTGGAAAGCACAGGATTAGAAACAGTTCTCCTTTTTAATCAGAAGTGTGAGTTTTTCCACCTGCTTTTAAATCTTGACATATTTTTTTATGTTACCATTAATCTGCTTCTGAAAGAAGCAAAAGTTAAAAATAAGCCTCTATCAATCAAAATATTCTACTTAAATATTGCTATTTCAGAAACAACTTAGAAGGCTCATTCAAAACCATTGACGACAGATTAGATTTATTTGAAAATGTTTGTGCCATTATTAGAGAAAAGATTATAGACGTTTTGTTTTGAAACTCATTTTAAGGTTTTTAAACAGTAAATTGACTTGAAGAAAATGGATGATCTGGAGTGGCTCTATATTTATATTCTTAAGAGTATTGAGTTTCTGTGACTTCTTTTCTTTCCTTGTGTTTCTCTCAATGATTTAGTCAGTTGGAAGCAAAGAGCTGCATACAATGCTGTGTAGATAGGATTTTTCTACTGTAGAAGAAGAAATCTTGCTTCTGTGACTGTCACAAGAAGCTGTTATAGAATGTCCTGGTTTCATAGTATTAGGTAGAGAAGAGCCAAACTGCCCTGTCTGAAGTGATGGAATTATTGAATGCTGCTGTTCTTTCATGAGAGTTGTAATGGTTGCTGCCCATGACTTTGACCATTATTTTCAAATGAAATGATAGAATGCTCTGAGCTGTCTAATTCTTTCAGTTTGGCTGTAATCCGCACAATGGACATGCCTCCAAGCCATGCACAGCGCGGCACTGTCCATCACAATGCACTCCAGTGACCTCTGCTGCCAGCCTTTTTCAAAACAGCACAAGGTCATCTTCAATTTAGAACTCAAGTGGAAACTTCTTATTTTGCTTTTTCTCAGGCAACATAAGGCAGAATTTGGTTTCCATTCAACACAGAATATTCTCCTTTCTAGCAGAAATATTTGAGAATCATTACATGGCATTAATTCTTTGGTTAATATAAACACTAAGGAAAACGTTTGAAAATAATTTTCATGCAGTTATCAGACTGAGCAAGAGGATTGTTACAGTGTAAAGTTATTTACCCTAATGTGAGGTTGGGAACACTTCACTTATCCATTAGTGTTAGGAAGTAGGAAGTAGAATGCAAATGAGGAAATTTTCTCAATTAGTGAGGCTCACCTTCAGAAAGGGAAATCTTTTCAAGAAGCACTGATGAAAGCATTTTAAAGGTGAATTACTAATTTCCCTTTTATCTTAACCATAGATCAAAACCTAACCCTTCCTTGATGACTCCAATTATTACACCATACTATAATATAATTGTGCTATTATGGACTATTAAAGAATGTCTGCATGTCTAATGGCTATTAACAGAATTTGCCTCTAGACACCAATGATCTCTGAGTTCTCCTGTCCACTTTGCACAGGTTTTATTTTCCCTGCTAGATTATCAGAGCTTGGCTGCTGTTCTTGCCTTTAGGCATGATTCCTTCCATAATCTGCTTTCTTTCAATCCACTATGGACAGAGAAGCAAATATAACACTTCATTAATTCAGTCAAGATGTTTAATTGAGCACATATGCTTTGCTCAGCAATATGATAGGTGCTAAACATATATTACTGGTGAGTCATGGGGATTCAGAGTTTTTTTTTGTGTGTGTGAACTTAGATAACCAGTCAAGTAAATACCCCCAAACTATAATTATATTACCTACAATGAATGCTGCAAAGGGAGAGGTGCTGGAATTAGTATTTATAGTGAGGGAAATTTCTCTGATTTAGGAAGTTATAAACAGGTGAAATCTTAAGGAGCTTCATGTCTAAGGTGGAGCCATAGACAGAGTGATATGAGACCATGTGAGGTCTTTTAGGCAATTCCTAATGTTTGCTTTTATCTGAAAAATAATAGGAACCTACTGAAGTACAACAGTACTCTGTCTGATGCAATATTAAGTACACTATGGAGAAGAGTCATGGAAAATACTTGAATTTTACTGTATGAACTTGAATTTCTTTGAGCTCCTTAGAGATTTATTTTGCAAGGCTTTAGATTTGCCTGTATTCCAATAGCTGATAATAAAGGGAGAGAGGCCTGAACACAGGCAAATTATCATGGACTATATAATTCTCTTGATTTTCCTCAATTTTCAGGATGTTCATCATTGTTTTATTTCATTATTGGTTTATCTATTAATGTTCATTCATCATTAATATTTTGCCTGTTTAAAAATAAAAGAGAATAGGAATATACCATCATCAAAACTATACAGGAGGAAGAAATGAATATTGTAACCCAAATAAGGGCCTGTGTTAGTTCTGAGCTTCCTACGCAGTCAAAGCACAAAGGGACCTGCAATGAAAATTATGTGATAAGAACAAGTCTATCTGTTTTTCAAAAGAGAATAAATTTTCTTGGAAATTATTTCTACAAGAAAAAGTATCATATGGGGTTTTGACAGTCAAGTGAGCAATGCTATTTAACAAAATCATACAGAAAAAGTCAAAACCTTCTCTTCAGCTATTTTGCACCTGTACCCACAATCAAAACTAAGAAATGTAATGTTTGGAAAACCAAAGCTACTTCATTAAAGGTGTTTTCAAGGAGGAGGAAGACCTTTTCTTGATCTAGATTTGTAACTCTTTTGCACTCTGCTGATGTGAGATGAACCGTACTCTGAGAAGAATAAATGAGGAACATCTTCCTTATACTCTTTTTTTAAAAAAATTAACTTCCTACTCATAAACCTGACATTTTGATCAGTTGAAGTAAGAGCTGCTGGGTTGAAGGGATTGGCGTAACCCTGGCCAATACACTTCTCAGTTTTACTCACTGGACTTGGTGTTACCTTGAAGGGTCCCAGTAGCTGTATAAGGAACTTACTTCTGTCCCGCAGACTTACATATCATTGCTCTTTGCAGGAATTGTACTGTAAGTAGATGTTTGGAATTTGTTTTTGGAAATCTAGCAAACAACTGTTGCATTGTTCACTGGATCATTGTGGAGTGGGTTGTGTTGGTGACAACAATTGTTCTCATCTGGGGGACAGCCAGCCTATTTCCTAAAGATTGGAAATGCAGGGGCTTTTGGCCACACCACATATTCCTCAGGACCAGTTTTAATTTCCTGAAGAGCCCAGATGTGCTCAGCTAGACCCAGCGCTGCTTACCATACATAATACAAAAAATATACTATACACTGGAAAGGTCTTAGCATACTGTTATCGGTTGTCAAACAATGGGCTTCCCAGGGCTACTTCCAGTGTTGTACAATGTGGCTTCCAGTTCCTATCAGGATCAGTGAGCTACATGATGTTCTCTCAAAAGAAAAAAACAAAACAAAACAAAAAAAACTTAACCCATTGCATGAAATTATTTAGCAGTGCCCAGTTAAATATTGAATAGTGACTGTGCTGAAGTGCTATTCCTGTGTGGATGATGTTAAACTATTTCACATTAATATGAGGGCTTTAAACTGTTTCTTTTTGACATTAATATGGACATATATCGCTTTTTGTGGTCCCTTCTAGTCAAGATAGTAAAACTATGTCATGTTTCGAGGAAGACTATAAGAGCAGGAGATAAAGCAGTACAAGCTGCTGAATGCTGCACAGGCCATTGGTGTAAAAGGGAATCATGTTTAAAATTTAGTCTTGCTGAGATTGTAAGCAGGGATGTGGTATGCCTACTTAAGCAGTGGTTTCAAGACACTCCGTTTAAAAAATCATGTTTCTTCCAGAGTATTTGACAATGTGAAGAGCGTAAGAGAACTATAATGATAAAACATTAGTATTTCAGTTCAAAATTTGTCTCTCAGAAATTACTAAAGGTGAAATATTTAGTCAGATTACTAAACTAAAAAACTTAAGTTACTTTTGGCCACAAAAACATAAGCTACAATGGAGGTTTGATTGATTTTTAATACTCAAACTGTTTTTTTATCATTGCTGGAAAATTTTACTTTCCCATCTCCTGAATCTGTATTGCAAGCACATTCAGAATCATGACAGGCTTAGAATCACTCGCGTTTTCCTTACAAGTTTTCTCAACCTCTCTTCTCTACTTGGGAAGCCAGAGGAAAACAACGACTTGACTTTTTAGGATTACTTTTATTGCTACTATTTGAACAAAATGCTATTTCTATAAATTTTTTAAATCCTAAGACCTATCAAAAGAAAAACATAAAGAAAAGGAGTTCAGATTTTTTTTTTTTAGTAACTTAAGCAACTATGTCAACTCCTTACTCCAAGGCAATAAAATATTAATACTGTACATCTTGTACGGAATCAAAGATTCTTCTGTTGCTATGAAAACCTTATTTATCATAAAGAAAATGTGTTGGGCAGAATTCCTGAGATATCTCTCCATTCCTTTTACCTATAGTTGAGCTCATCTCAGGAGTGAGTCAAGCCTAATGGCATATTAATTTGGTTTGTTTGATTGCAGGTAACAAAAAGCAATTTAAGCTTGCTTAATTATGCTGATAGAATTTATGAGCACGTGTCAAGAAAAACCATAGCAAAATATAAAAGGATCTAAGAAAAGAACTGGTTCTAGGAAAGGTAAACCTGACAGAAACTCAAACATCTTTCTGTATGTGTCTCTGCACCATCTGGTTCTCTTTGTACTGATTGTCTCAACTTTTAGCTCTCTGGTGGCACACAGAGCCATCCTACACTGCTAGAATTTAGCCATTCTTGGTTCAGGACACCTATTGACACTAAGGACTTTTTTCAAACTCTCAATTCCAACTATGTGGAAGCTTGAATCTCATTAATAAACTTTGGTTGGGTATCAGTTCTGCTCCAAATTATCAGTGTCCAGGAGCAAGTAGTACAAATTTGGTTGTCATGAGTCCTGCCTTGAGGATGAAGAGGCTATTTTGGAAGTTCCTCTAAGCAATTTATGGGGAAAGTTATAACAGATGGAGCAGAGAGATGGAAAA